AAATGTACATGCTGTTCTACGCATTCAAATTATCAAAATGCAAAAAACCATCTTATTGCTGTCTGTTTATTTCTTTACACAGTGAACTTTGTTTCAAGGACTGGTGCCAAGCAATGTGTTTCTTTTTTCCAACCAACATGTTGTTCAGTGGATAATGGTATTCATCTCAGTATCTATTGCAAATGTGACTTGTCATGCATATATCATCTCATTTATTGGAGCTTGAGGGAAACATCATTTCCAGTTGACTATTGTTTCTGTTGTCTAAACTCCTAGGCCTGAGTTGAATGTTTAATTGTCTATTTCTTTTTGCATACTGGAAAGCAATGATGTTTAGTTACAGATTTGGAATATGATTTTTTGGATTGTTTCTAATTTGAATGTTAATCACTACTTCCCATGATTGATGTCAGGCACTAAAAGATTTATATACACATCTTACTCCCATACAACGTGTGAACATTGCACGCCATCCTAACAGACCCACTTTCCTTGATCACGTATTTAGCATTACTGAGAAGGTATAGTCCCCATTCACTCTAAAAAGCTTCAAGTTTCTTATCTTATTTCTGGTCTCTTTATCATAACAATTTGCTTTTGATTCTTGAGTGCTAAAAATTTTCCTTGATCAGTTTTATTGAATACTGAAGTTTTGCCTTAATTTTTGTATTTCTGTCCCTTTAAATGTTCAGTTTGTGGAGCTCCATGGGGATCGTGCAGGGTATGATGATCCTGCTATTGTTACTGGTATAGGGACCATAGATGGTAGAAGATACATGTTTATGGGTCACCAAAAGGGTAGAAATACAAAAGAAAACATTCAGCGGAACTTTGGCATGCCTACTCCTCATGGGTATGTACCACAGGGTTTCGTATTTGTGGTGTAACCAGAAATTTAGTTACATCTGGTATGAGAATGATATTATGCAGTTAAATATATAGAAAATTGATATATTTTGTTTCTAAACAGCTATAGGAAGGCTCTTCGCATGATGTATTATGCAGATCACCATGGTTTTCCTATAGTTACTTTCATTGACACGCCTGGGGCATATGCAGATCTCAAATCAGAGGAATTAGGCCAAGTACGAGAGCAAGCATATTTTTTTTAGAGGGAAAAAAACAATTATAATTTAAGATTACACATTCTGTGGAAAAAAATGCTTAAATCTTTCTCTTCCAGTTCTCACTCAACTAATTGATCTGCTGTACATTCATATAGGGTGAAGCTATTGCTCACAATTTGAGGACAATGTTTGGTTTGAAGGTGCCCATCATTTCTATTGTTATTGGGGAAGGTGGTTCTGGTGGTGCCCTTGCCATTGGTTGTGCCAACAAATTGTTAATGCTTGAAAATGCAGTTTTTTATGTTGCCAGGTGATTTGAGCTTTTCTGCTTTGAATGTTTTTTTTTTGTGGTTAAATTGATGGCCATGTAGCATTTCGTTTCCCCTAATCTAACAAAAAGGTTAACTTTATTTTGTGATTTCCTTATTTTTCTCATCTTTTAGATGGTTGTATTAATCATCTTTGTTCTTTGTTATGCTACAGCCCTGAGGCATGTGCAGCAATCTTGTGGAAAACTGCCAAGGCCTCTCCGAAGGTTTGTTCATATTTATTATTAGTATTCTTCAGTGCAATATATGTTGATAATTATGGGAATATTTAAAGTTTTCATATGTGCAGGCTGCCGAAAAGCTGAGAATTACGGCATCAGAGTTAAGTAAAAATCAAATTCCGATGGAGTCATTCCGGTAAATAGATCTCTTCTAAACCTTATCTTGAGGGATTGGTTTTCTTTCCTTTCATGTCCCATGCTCTCGTCGCTCTGCCACCCCAAAAAATGGATTAAACATGAGCCCTTCTAGCTCTAGAACCACGATCGAATTCATTATACCATTTATGGGTGTTATTGTTCTTCTGACTCAAGAGTACAAACAATTTCTGTTGCAATTTTTCAGACATACGAAACACCCTAATTACCCTCTGCAGCAAAATATTACCTTTTCACTGCACTTAATTCTTTTGTCAAGAAATTCCCTATTGAGGCAGAAGTGTGAATTATGCACTCAGTTTTTTTGTGCAGTAGTAATGAACTACCTCCTATTTTAGTTCTTTGGTCTTGCCTCTGTGGATACTTTCTGCTTTTGTTGTTAGCCAGGGCTTCATGTTAATTTGGCATCTAAATCAGAGCTGGCTTTGTCCACATTTGACAGGAACCACTTGGTGGTGCGCATGCAGATCCTTCTTGGACCTCGCAGCAGATAAAGATTGCTATCAATGAATTCATGGATGTGAGTGCTGCTCAGAGTCATTCATCCGCAAGGACCATATACAACCAGTTATATCCTTATTTTGATTTTGTTTGCGCAGGAGCTAACAAAAATGAAGACTGAGGAGTTACTAAGGCATCGAATGCTCAAGTTCCGAAAATTAGGTGGATTTCAGGAAGGAGTGCCAGTAGATCCTAAAAAGAAAGTCAACATGAAAAAGAAAGATGAACTCATTGTTGGTAAGTCTACAAAACTGGAATTGGAGGGTGAGGTTGAAAAACTGAAAAAGCAAATTTTGAAAGCCAAGGAATCATCTGTAAGACCTCCTGTCTTAGCTGTAGATGAGATGATAGAAAAACTGAAAAAGGAGGTTGATCACGAGTACTCTGAGGCAATTAAAGCTATGGGTTTGAAGGACAGGCTGACTATGTTACGAGATGAGTTTGCAAAGGTCACTTCTGAGAACCATCTTATGCATCCAGTTCTAATGGACAAGATTGAGAAGCTTAAAGATGAGTTCAACAGAGGCCTGACAGCAGCTCCTAATTATGAAAACCTGGCACATAAGCTTGACATGTTAAAGGAGTTATCTAAGGCCAAGAGACTCTCAGAAAATGACAGTAAGGCTATCAAATTGAAGCAGGAAATCAACAAGAAGTTCAAAGAAGTCGTGGATAGATCTGATTTAAAGGAAAAGATGGAAGCATTGAAGGCTGAAATTCGGGATTCTGGAGAATCGAACTTTGGGGATTTGGAAGAAGAGCTGAAGGATAAAATCTTGAGGACGAAGTGGGAGGTAGAGGCAGAAATGACCAATGTCCTTCGTTCAATGGGTTTGGAGGTTGAGGGTGTAAAATCTAAGTTGAGTGATCTTGTTGAGCAAAGTCCATCATCAGGATTAAGGGTCAAGATGGAACATTTAAATGAAGAGATCAGCCAGAAAATTCAAGATGTAGTCAGTTCATCAGATCTGAAAAATATGGTTGAGCTACTTAAGTTGGAGATAGCAAAGGCTGGAAAGACACCTGATACAACATCAAAGAACAAGATCGAAGCTCTGGAACAACAAATTAAACAAAGACTTTTGGAAGCCATAAGTTCATCGGACTTGAAGGACAAACATGAAGAGCTGCAGGCCGTGGTTTCTGAAGATCTAGCGTCATTAGTTGGATCAGATGGAAGTTTGAAAAGGGAAGAAGATGGTTCCAAGAATGAGCAGCCAAGGGTGGAGATTAATTTGGGTGCAAACCGCAGCTTTGCTTAGTCTCAGTTCATCAGTTCCCATCTAAAGTAAGCGACTTGATAACTTTTTCTCCTTTGGATAGAACCCTAGTTTTAAAATTTATTTTGGAAGATTAATTCTGTCCTTGCTGCTTGTGTTTAGGATTATTTCATTGCAGAAAACAACTCTTTTATTCTTCTGTCAGTCTAGATTATTATAAAATTTAGACTTGTGCGTCCCCCCTCCTTTTTCTGTCGTAACATTTCCAATTGGCCCATTGTATGGTTTGGGTTTTGGCATTTCACCTGTCCTTGAATCTTATCATAAAAGACTTGCTGTTTTTAGTTAGCAATCAGGGCACTGGATACTATTAATTTTCCTTCAGGTTATTTTGTTTTTCTTGCTTTTTTGACTGGAAAACTTTCCCCAAGTTGGCTCTATTGATCCTGTTTTTCTTCTGGTACCTTGCAGTATTAATGATTTTATCAATGTGGTTTCCACAGAAGACTGATGTTCGAGTGAAAGAACTAGAGATGGAAACAAAGTTTCTAGACATCATACTTCAGCTTTGGACGTCAATTATACTGCTACCAAGCATCCATTGGTAGTAGCAGTTGGCAGACTAGGACAAGTTTTGCATCCATGGAAACCCAAGGCAACGCTTATTGCATTTCCATTTGTAGCTGGAACTTTTCTGTTTTGAACTAGGTTTTGTTAACTTGTCATTTGCGATATTGTTTTGTTTCCTTTCACCTTTCTCGGTAGAATATATTTCTCTTTGTTATTTATTGATAGACAGGAAACAGTTTGTATAGATTATGGGAGTGCAGGTGGACTACGGCAGGTGCAGGCGAGACCTATTTGTGCTTGCAATAATCAGAAATAACACTTATAATTTTGGCTGATATTTGATTCATGCCCTTGTTTTGCTCCAAGCATATAATTCTTTTAATAATTTACTTTTAATCGCAAATATGCGTTGCATTGCGAAAGTCAAATGTTGAAAGGTTAGGAGCAGAATTTATGCTTTTAACTAGACAGTTGAGTGACTCCGGGCTAAGAAAGCATCAAAAACAGGAGAAATTGTTTTGCATTAATGAAAGATAGAGAGAAAGTGAGAGGAAGAAGATAGCAAACCCTCTACGGTCTCTTTTCTCTGTCCTTCGTACAACGCAGAGGAGGGTCTGCTATGGTAGAATCCCTTCATCTAGTTTCCTCAAGCCTCAAGCTTCTCTCTGATAACGTGGAAAAAGTTTCCATGTGATCAACTAGTGGTAGGTCAACTTCATGGGTTTGAACACGTGGTGCTGGTTTAATGGTATTTTTAACAGTGTTAGATGAGAGTGGTTTTTTTTTTAAAAAAAATTACCATATGAGTGATTGGTAGTGTCATCAAAGCTCACCATTCATTTGAATATGTACAGAGAACTATTATTAGATACTACTTTAAATTCTTTTAGGTGATATTTCTCATCGGGAAGTTACTGTATGAGATAATGACAATTAAACATACGAGCCTCGTGGATTATTCTCTTGTAAATTGTTATATTATTCCATTTTACATTCATTTTTTAATTTCTACTAAAAATCAATTATAATTATGATATTGAAATTAAAATTAGTCAGAATATTTTACTCACTTAACTAAAGACATTGACTGTAATATTTGATGTAGTCCATTAATCAAAACTTTTGAACACCTCAAAAGAACAAAATTACAAACATTGGTAGAGAAAAAGTCTTCTCTCTTCAATCTCTTTCATCATTCCTTAAAAATCAAAAAACTCAATTACATAACAAAAGTAACCTTCTTTTGAAGTACAACCTTCTAACACCATCATGTTTAATCTCTGAAACTCAATACAGGAAAGGAACGACAGCTTTTCTGCCCTTTGGATAATCGTCAAACTTGCGTAGATACCACTTGTGGCTGGCACGTGCCCTAGGAACCAAGTTGGCACACGTGTAGAGAAAAAATCCAAAGCCTACCCAAGACCACGTCATGACGGCCCAGCCCAGCCATTCCACAACCTCGCCAAAATAGTTCGGACAGCTCACCATCTCGAACAATCCTCCTCTTGGCACCTTGTAGCCACCACCTTCCCTCTTTAGCCCAACCAGAACCCTATCAGCCCAAAGATTCACCCACATACCTACCAAAAACAACACCAGACCACCCAAGAATCGCCACAAAAACCACCCATCTCCCTCGTAATCGTCCTTGTAATGCGAAACCCATCTAGCCTGCAAGTAAGTGTTCAAGAGATTGAAAGAAAACGCCGTCATGGCCACGCTCACCGGGAAACCACTGGCGGGCTTCCGCTGGGTAATACTCCGGTGGAGGCGAAGAGGGTAGAGGCAGGTCCTGTTGAAGTAATGGAGGAGAAAGGGGGAAATGAGGAGGAGGGCTTTCGGGTTGGAGTGGTGGCGACCGTAGGGGAATAGAAGGAAGGTAAGCCAGAGGGTGGGACTCTCCATGAAAAACCAGGATAAAGGAGCGTAAATGGTGGGGCCCCACCCAGGGCGGTTGTGCTTGCCGTAGGGAGCTTGAAGGAATTTCAGAGCAATAACGGTTGGTGGGGCTATAAGGTAAAGGGCAAGAAGGCAGTAACGGAAGAAGGTCTGATCTGAGTTTTCCGTCATGGAGATGGAGGGTAATGGAAAAAGCCCAAGGGCGAAGGGATCAACTATTATTTTGACAGAAGGGATCCTTAAATTTGTTTTCGGAATTTGTGCGTTCGCTTCTTCTTCTTTTTTTGTTTTTTTTTTTTTTTGGTTAGTTTATAAATTAATAATGATGATCACTTCTTTTAACACTTCTTTTCTCTTCTAACTTCTGCGTTTTGATGAAAGTTTTAGTAAAACTTAAAAATAATTATTACACGTCACGTCACGACTATATAAGTAACTAGCTTTTCGCCGTTAGCATTACGTGTTTTTTTCTGACTGGTTGAAATATAACTTAAATTATATTGTTTTAGTTCCAAAATAGATTATGTTGAAAAAAATTCAATAAAAATTAATAATTACGTGTCTTGAATATGAATCATATTTAATAATCATATTCCTATTGTTATAATTAAGTGATACAATTTTTTATCTTATCAAAATTAAATAGTAATATTACAATATAGAATAAATAAAAATAGTATATTTAGTGTACATATTAATAATAATAATTTAAAACAAATATTTGTATTAAAAATAAATAAAGATACATGAATCAAATCATTATTAACTACAAAGAGTAAATCACAGTTAGCTTGTGCATCTTGTTGTTAAGAAAGAATGCTCAAAGTCACTTCTGTTAGCATAGTCTAAAATAAAAATTTGTACAGCCACAATTGGCTCCTAATTTTGAGCACTTGATCATAATATGAAAATAATAGTCGAGAGGTGTGCTCGAAAGTATTTTGAGATCCCAAACTATAAGTGGTATAGTGATCAATTCGACATAATAAAATATTGTTAAAATTTTAACTTAATGATTGATAAAATAATTATTGATATAAGCTATAAGAGAATATTCATAATAAATAATATAAGTTGAAATTGTTAAAATATATTTCCTCATGAAAATTTTATTCATAACATCAACTATAAGCTAATTGTTGGAACCATATGCAAAACTGTAAATACTATTGATGGTTTGACGGCCTACAAGTTTACTACCTAATATGATGAATTTGTTAGGTGAGATAGAAGTTTACAAGCTTTTAAGCTACTAAACATGAATGTTAGACATTATGAGCTCAGTTATACTGGCTAGTCAAACTTATTTACGAGTTATAAAGTTCTACTAACATAAGGAGATATATATAGAAGGTAAAATTGAAGGAGCTTGTGAAGAATATTATATTAGGAGGTTAGAGACAAAGCTTGTCGAATTGAAATACTACTACAAAAGCTCTGGTGCTTTAATCTAAAGTCTTAAATAGAAATTTGAGAATCATGTTCAAGTTTCAATAAGAGATTAATTATCTATAGTAACATTTTTCTTACGCAGCAATGCTTAGTCTTATTACACATGAGTTTTGCATTCATAATCTCTCTCTTTTAACCTAAAAAATTAGTAAATATTATTTTTTATGTAAGTTTTTCATGTAAGATATCGTAGATAACACTTTTTGTATGTTAGATAGTCAGCTAATAATAGCATTTGTACCTTCATCGACTTGAGCATATACAAGTATCCCTTTTGTTGTATTCTCAAAATTTAACTTAAATATTATAGAGCTTTCGCACAAACTTTCCTCTTGCAACATGTTCACCATCATCTTTTTTTTTCCCATCCTATGCATCCCCATTTTTTATATAAAATACATATGATCTATTTATCTTATTATCTAATGTGTACCTCCACCCTGCCTCTTTTTTTATTTTTTAAAATAGAAGCAAATAATAAATCGTTGGCCCTTTATTCATGTTCAACAAAGTGAAAAAGTCATGAGCCTAAAAATAAACTAGATTTAGGTTCGGTTTTGCCTAGGCTAAGTGGGTTCAATTACGGTTTGAACAACTTAAATTTTAATTGAAGAAGAGGTCTATAGAAAAATAGTTGAATTTTAACTTCAATAACTATTATTGTTTGAGGTTTTTGGCTTAAAGAACTTATAAGTTAAAACATTTAGTTTAAGTAAGATTGTAATAAGTTCGACTTATATTAGTATCGCACATTAGAGAGAAATAACTAACATCTATTAGACATTCTTCAATATGAGGGAGAGAGATAATCGTTAGAGTCTCATTAAATCAGTTAGAAATTATTGAAAGAAACATAGAGATAGAGTGAGTGTGATAAATAGAGATAAGGAGGGAGAGATGTATATAGAGGAAAAAGAGAGAGAGAGAGAGAAAAAAAAAAAGAGAACACGAGGTAAAGGGAAAAAAATATAAATAGATGAATAGATAGATATATACATATATAGAGAGAGAAAGATAGACAGATATATATATATGTATATATATGGGGTTATTTGAGACAAAAGAATAAGTGTTTGCAATGAAATAAAACTATAAGAAATAATATGAAATAAATGTTTATAGAAAACATTGTGTAAGAATCAAATTTATTAATTTTTCTTCATCAACTGGTAATTTAAAATGTAAAAAATATATTCACAAGCCTCTCAAAAACAAAACGAGTCTACAACAAAATGACATCATAAAAAACATTGAGAGATAAAAGATTCGATTGAGGACATGGACTATATAAAGAAAATGATACAATTGCAAAACTATTTATCTTTTTATTGAGTGGTAATTCTAAATTTTCAAAACATATTATAAAATTTGCACGATACACATATGACAAAATATTTAATTGAAGATTTTTTATTCAAAGAAAATGACAATTGTAAATTTATTGGTTTTTCTTTATCATTTAGTAATTGTAAACTTTAAAATACACGTTGTTTGTTTTAAATTTGAGTGATGAATACTTTAATTATTTTCTTTGTTCATAATTATGTTGTTAACTAAGTGAAAAAATAATATATATTTAAAATTTTATTTACATGCTCATGTGATATAACTAGTATTTAATTTTAAATTATTAAGTAAAGTAATTAATTATATATAACTTTGAAAATTTTGAGTATCTAATATTTAAAGGTATTTATGTAAAAATTGGACACTTGTATTGCCATGTCCATATTTTTTGTATTTAATTGTAATTTTAATAGAATTATAATTGTGATTGATGTTTATATGTAATAAATAAGAAATACAACATCTTTTAAACTATTATCTCTTTAGTCAATTATATTATCAATTTATATTACTTGATATCTAATGTATATCTATCTTACCAAATGACAAAACATAGGAAACTAATACTATGTGTATACACACACACACATTTTAAAATATGTACTACAATTTTAATATCTATAAATTTTATATATTAGGAACTGAAAATTGATAATTTGTTAAGATTAAATTTCACATTATATTTAAAACAAGTTTAATTTTGTATCGAAATTATTTAAAATTTTATGTAATAGTAGAAAATTTTAATGTGTGTGTTTATTATTTATTAATTATAATTTTAAAATTACATTAAAATATAATTAGAATTAAATAAATAGAAAATATTTTAATTATTTATAATTAATTACAAATTTATTTTAACCTCATCTATAATATATATATATATATATTTTTTTTTTGCAAAATTAAATACATTTGTGATGAGTTCTTAGAATTCAGAAAGAACTTTATTTTCTCAGGCCTATAATTTTAATTCTCTCTCTCATATTTATTTCCTCTCCAAATTTCTCAAGTCGTGAATTCCTCGTCTCCTCCTCCGTCTTCTCTTCTCTCTCTTTCCTTCGGTATGGATTACTAGAAAAACTCGTATTACTCCCTCCAAAATAGCTGCTTACTTCCCCGTCTCTCTCTTTTTTTCTCTCTAGGGTTTCAACACAACTTAACAGTGGCGAGAACAGAGAGCCGGTAACTATAATCAGAGAGTTTTTTTGAGCTTCTTTTCCTGACAGGAGAACTCTGTTAGGGTTTTTGAATCGCGAGAGCTTCAATTTCTCTGCCAAGCAAGAGCCGGCTTCTCTCGGCTCTTCGCGGAGACGGTGTTTTTAGCGATTAGTGTATTCGTTGATTGCATGTCTTTGGTGAGTTTTGCGCTCTTTCGTGTTCGATTGCTTTCAATGATTCCCTTCTGCGGGTTCGAGCAAACCTGATCTCCAATTTAGATATTTCTTTGCAGTTTTACTGTTTAGGGTTGAAGTCGTCGAATTCTGAACACCATTGTTACAATATTTGGGTTGAATTTTGCTTTTTCTTTTGGGGAAAGGTCAGCGACTTAAGTACGATTCGCAAACGCATACTCCCTTAAACCCGCAAAAAGAGCCTGCCTCTATCTCGTCGCAGAGGAAATTAGATACTAGAAGCTTGACATTCCTTTTATGCCTGATAAACTATTCTTCCATGTCCTGTCTTGTGAGCGTGAGGGTGTAAAATCTTTAGCCATTATAATTACAGTTGCAATGTGCTGTTTGTTTCTGTCTCTCATTTCTTTCACTTTCTACTGCCGTTGAATAAGTAATAAGGGATTGTTATCCAACAATTTGGAAGTCTGGATTTTACAGTGCTAATTTTTGCTCCGTCATGATTCGTAATGCCTGTTCATTCACTTGTTATTTATCTGGGCAGGGACAGGGTCCATGTTGCTCATCCGGAATTGAATGGTTGTTAACATGGACTTGAATGCATCTCCTTTGCCAGAAGAAGATGAAGAGACATTTGAAGGGCATATAGAAGAATACGCAGCGCAAGAAGACCGAACAGAGTCCGCGGTTGAAATTTCTCGCCGGGTACTATTGAACTTCATACTTTGATTTGTTTCATGCTTTTTCCTAGTATGTCAGGCAGTGTGTATTTTAGAAGTGGAGCCTTCAATAAACTGAAGTCATCCAATGACACTGACATGTCAAACCTCCTTAGGGTAAATTTTTTCATTTTAAAGAAATCACCTTAATGAGGTTTGACATGGCTCAAACTAATTGACATTTTCTCTATTTGTCAACGCGAGATAGTTTTGTATTGATGTGGTTAATAAGCATGTGGACTGCATCATCGCTAGAGCTGAGTGGCCTTTATTGCCATTTGAAGCATTCGATTGAACATTGCCATCTCTGATCCGCAATTCCATAATACAAACTATATCTACTTTGCAACTGAGTTCCAGTTTTGTGCTCTGTATTGTGTAGAATTTGGTTCAATATCTTTTGCAAAGTGAATGATTTTCTTCTTGCTCACTTCTCCCTTGACCAACAAAATGAATTTTTTCCTCAAAAAACTAAATCAAATGTTCTACATAGCTTATTGTCGTTGAGGAAGGTCTGGACCTCTAGGCCATCAAATATTGGATGTGGTGGTGGAAGCATGTTGTTTGACTAGCACTAAAAACAACACTCCATAATTTTGTAAAGAACAATTCTATGATGATCTTTGTGGAGCCTCTAAACAGCATGAGAGATAAGTTGTTTAGTTCATTGTGCCTCCTATAAACATTAATACTTTGATGGATTTGAGTATTAATTTGTGTATCATGCTGAAATTTCTTTCTCTAGCTGTAGAGAGAAATATTTTTTTTCTTCATATCTTGGTCTTCATATATAAGTTTGTTGCTTATTTTAGGAGCGTGAAGAAAGAAAGAAGCGTTTGAGAAGTGACAGACCAGCACAACTATCTCAGCCACCTGTGCAAGATCGATTTTATCAAAATAAAAACGCTAAGGTTCATGACAAAAGTAAGATACCCTCAGGTAATAATTTTTGCCAAAAAGTGTTCTTGCTCCTTTTCATGTAATTGAATTGTGTTTCAGAGCTTAAGTAAAAGTGCAAGACTGGAAAATGATGAGCTGAATAACTGAAATCCCAGATTATTTTCTTATAATTAATGTGTCAACGTGAATGGATCTGCTTATTTTCTTACCAATTGTTTATCTTGCAGGTTGGTTGGATTGCCCTTCGTTTGGTCAGGAAATAGGATGTATTATTCCTTCTAAGGTTCCACTTGGGGAATACTACAATGACAATGTTCCTCCTGGTAAAAGATACTCTTTTAAACAAGTCATTCATCAACAGAGAGTGTTAGGAAGAAAAGTAAGTATAAAGTATATTATTTTTACTTACTTTTGTGGACCATAAGAATTTTCTTCTATAAAATGTAAAGCAGCTAGGTCTTACTGCTAAGAAGGAAGATGAGGGCTTCTAGCATGTGAGAACGTGCTAGAGTCCTTGCCATCTTAGCAAGAGTCAAAATTTGACTTTCAGCATATTTGGAGACGTGCATTTGTGTATAAATTCTCTCAATAAAAGTAATTTGTATATAAATTTTATCAAGATAGAGAAAAATGCAGATGCATTCTTTTCATTTTGATTCTAGTAGGTCAGGTTTTTCATTTGAATTAGTATTGATTGTTGTTTATTTCCCCCATTCTGTCATTCAAGCTTGGTCTCGTGATTGATTTGACGAATACTAGTCGGTACTATTCAGCATTGGAGTTGAAGAAAGATGGCATTAAGCATGTTAAGGTGAATACTAGCTTAATATTTTAGTTTTCTGATTCGTGCTGCTTCATTTACCGTGTAAGTTCTTAAAATATTGAAAAAATTGGCTTTTGCTCTAGATTGCGTGCAGGGGGCGTGATGCTGTGCCTGATAATGCATCTGTAAATAACTTCGTTTATGAGGTATTCTCGTTTTGAGAATTTTTATGGAATATGTTCCTTATTCGCTCTACTTCTGAATTTTTTAGATGGTGGAAATATACTGTTTTAATACTTGTATAAAAAACTCAGATATGGTGTCTGGTTTTGTTTGTTGATTTACTCCATTCAGGTCACTCAGTTCCTTTCCCGTCAGAAACACTCAAAGAAGTATATTCTTGTCCATTGTACGCATGGCCATAATCGCACGGGATTCATGATTGTTCACCATCTTATGCGCTCTTTGTCGATGTCTGTCACTCAGGTTAGTCATTCATTATCTTGTTTCATGTGCATACTGTAAAAAACCAGTTATTTACTGGTTTCTTCTTTGATAGGCAATAAAAATATTTGCTGAAGCGCGTCCCCCGGGAATATACAAAAAAGACTATATTGACGCTCTGTATACATTTTATCATGAAAGAAAGCCAGAAATGGTCACTTGCCCGTCAACCCCAGAGTGGAAAAGGTCTTCTGAACTTGATCTTAATGGTGAAGCAGTACCAGAGGATGATGATGAAAGAGGCTCAGCTGCTCCTTTGCATGTATGTGTAGTTTTTGAAGTATGGTTTTAGTTCTTTGTTTTTGTCGTTATTTTATAGACATACAGGGATGAGGAGTTGATGACAAAAGTAGTCTCTGTGTGTTTGATTACTTTATATATGACACGTTGATGTTACCTTTATACATGACAATTGGTCTTACAACTATCAGTTTTTCTGGAGAGCAACCTCTTTCTGTTTCAATTCCTTTTAGTTTGGTCATTGGCCTCTAAACCATTACTGTCTGTTAAATTCTATGCTGATAAGTCAGGCATGTGCTTCTTAATGGGGGATGTACATTCATTTATCTTCTTTGATTCTTTTGTTGATATCTGCTATTCAATATCCTTATAGTTATATCTCCACGTGATTGTCTTTAATCCATGTTTGTTAAACGCCTTAAGAAGTAGAAGTTCTGATATTTCTGGTTTAGTTTGAATATTTGGACAGAATACATGAATACTTTTATCTTTCCTACTAATTTTTACTACCCTCTTTCATTTCCAGGATAATCATCAGATGGATGTAATAATGACAAATGATGACATCTTGGGTGATGAAATACCTAATGACCAGCTGGATGCACTGCGACAATTCTGCTACCAAACTCTTAAGTTGAATGTTGGGGTAGGCAATTTGAAAATTCCTGTTTTTTTTTTTTTTTTTTTTTTTATATGTTTTCTACTTCTAACTAAGTGAATCTTAGTTTAGAGGGTGTATACAGTGGAACTCATGTTTATTTTCTTGGCAGTTAGCCTAGTCTGATCTTATACTTATTCGGCCCTAGTTTCATTTTGGTGTAAGTACACGGATGTTGTTGGAGTCCCTTTTGTTGTGATTATTTTGGCAGGTAGTTAAGCTGATTTTCCTCATCTTTTGCTGTTTTTTTGATTTACCTATATGCAATGGAAGTGAGAAAAAATGGTTTTAACACCTAATTGTGTTCTGTCATGTTCTTTTGCTTGATATGTATGTTTTCCTTTTTGCTTCATAGCCCATCAAACAAAGGGCACACAGCCTGGGGACTCCAGAACTCTGACCTCCAAGTAATGGAGACATAGAAAAGTATCAATGAGCCAAAAGACATTGACTAATATGTATTTTCTTGTTCATTGATTTAACAGAAACTTTAATATGTTGAGTTTTTCTTTCAATTCAGGGAAGAGGATACTCGCAATTTCCAGGTTCACACCCAGTTTCTCTAAACAGGTATGATGTTCCCTGCATACTTTTTATGATAATGATGGCATAATTTTTGTTAGTTAAGTGGCTGAAACATATCTTAAGGATGGAGCTTTGGTTCTATACTTTGCTGTACTAGGCTGATAGCATCTCAGGATGTATAGAAAGTCATGAAGTACCATTCTTGCAGACTGGAATTTTCTTGCCGTGATTCAGAAATCCTGTTGGCTGAGAGCATTTAACTGTTAAGTTGATGTTCCTGATATCAGAACCATTAATTATCTCAAAAAAAGATATCAGAACCTTTTTTGTTATTTTTATTTTTGAAAGAAAATTATAGAAGTGTATTGAAGGTAGGTGCCAAGGGGGCACTGCCCATATACAAATGGAAGCAAAATCTACAATGGAATTTACATGTCAGTAAGTATATCTACAATGGAAGTAAAATCTACGTTACTATCAATGTCATGCCCTAGTGTAGTAGAGCCAAAACAGTGAAACGAATTGTCTTTTAAGGTATTGAAGTCTAATTCTTTTCCATCAAAAGCACACTTGTTTCTTTCCTTCCAAATGACCCAAAATATAATATGAGGAATGAGTTTGAAAGGCTTATTTCTTTTGCTAAGACCTTTCCAAGCAAATAATTCACCAAAGATTGTGTTGGTCATGACCCAAGATAACCCCAATAAGCCAAGCACCATTGCCCAAAGATTGTGAAAGATTGGGTACCACAGAAGAAGATGATTGCATGATTCCGGTCCCATTTTACAAAGGTAGCATCTGTTTGCAATGGTTAGTCCTCTTTTCATAAGATTATCCGGGTGAGAATTTTTCTTTGGCAGCTTTCTATGCGAAAAAAGATATTCTGGGAGGAGGAGCTCCAGATTTCTAGATGATTTTAGCTGGGAATTTCGTGTGGTTGCAGTTAATCCGGCCATCCAGAGAGTCATAAATCGAGCTGACAGTGAAATGGCCATTTTTCTTATGTTTCCAGCGAAGCTCATCTTCATGATGCTTAAGCTTAATGTGAGACAGAGTGAGAAGCAAGGATTCATATTCTTCAATTTCCCAATCTTGTAGATTTCTCATTACAGTAATATTCGTGTTGTCAAGATTACCAGGATCGACAACATCTTTAACAAAGGCACATTTGAAGCTAGAGATGGTGTATATTCGTGGAAATCTATCCTTGAGAGAAGCTGTTCGGCACCAAATATCTTTCCAAAATTGGACTTTGCTACTATTCCCAATTATCCATTCAGAGCAATTAATAATAGCCGCGCTGATATTCATGATGTTCCTCCAGAGACTTATGCCATAGCTGTAATTTCTAATATGTGAAAAATTCTTTTAATCACCATCAAACCATTTGCAAATGACCCTTTTCCATAGACATTCTTTTTCGTTCCAGTATCTCCAAATCCATTTCCCAAGGAGTGCTTTGTTTAATTTGACAAGAGTTCTCAAACCCAAACCGGCACTCCTCACTGGTTTTTTAACTTCAGTCTAGCAAGGTGATATTTTTCCTTTCATTATCAACATCTCCCTATAAGAAGTTGCACTGAATGTTTTCTAATTTTTTCGCAACCTTGGCCAGGATATTGAACACGGGAAGATAATAAATTGGCAAGTTGGAGAGTGTGCTCTTGATGAGAGTAAGCCTTCCCCTTTCAGATAAAAATTTCTTCTTCCAAGCGGGCAATCTGTTTTGTACCACATCTACAACAGGGTCCCAATTCTTGCAGTCATTGTGTTTAGCTCCCAACGGTACACCAAGGTAGGTGATAGGCCAGGATATTGAACACGGGAAGATAATAAATTATCAAGTTGGAGAGTGTGCTCTTGATGAGAGTAAGCCTTCCCCTTTCAGATAAAAATTTCTTCTTCCAAGTGGGCAATCTGTTTTGTACCACATCTACAACAGGGTCCCAATTCTTGCAGTCATTGTGTTTAGCTCCCAACGGTACACCAAGGTAGGTGATAGGCAGTTGTGAATTTCTGCAACCCAGAGCAATATTTAGGGAACCAACATCAGCATCACCAGCACCCAAAACAAGAAGCTCAGACTTATGGAGGTTGATTTTTAAACCAGAGACAGCTTGGAGACAAGATAAAATGCATCTCAAAAGTGTAAGGCAACGAGTATCCAGTTGGCAAAAGATAAGGGTATCATCGGTGAAGAATAAGTGAGAGATCTCAATCATTCTGTTTCTGTTACCAACAGAGATACCATTAAGCATTTGTAGCTCCTTTGCTTTCTCAATAAGCTTGTGAAGAGCTTCCATTACAATGATAAATAGAAGAGGGGAGAGTGGGTCCCCCTATCTCAAGCCTCTGGAAGTAGGTCAAAAAGAGGAAGGTCCACCGTTAACCATAATCGCAAAACTAGAAGTTGCGATGCAAAATCTGATCCAGCTTCTCCGTTTTAGGCCAAAACCCATTCTCTGAAGCATATAATCTATAAAGTCCTAATTTACATGATCAAATGCTTTTTCCATGTCAAGCTTACATAGAACTCCCTTCTTATTGTGTCTTGTGGCTTCATTAACTATTTCATTTGCAATCAAAATGACATTGGAAATTTGTCGCCCTAAAACAAAAGTGACTAATAATTTTGTCAAGTACTTTAGAGAACCGCCTAGCAAGAACTTTGTAAAGCAATTTGTAGATACACCCAATGAGGCTAATTGGCCGAAAATCATTAATGCTCTTTGGGTTGTCTCTTTTCGGAATCATAACCAGAAATGTAAAGTTTAGAGATCTCACAAAAGTGTTGTGGCTGTGAAAGTCGTTAAAAATTTCAGTGACATTACCTTTGATTAAATCCCAAAAAGTTTGAAGGAATTTGAAGTTGAAACCGTCTGGACCGGGGGCTTTATCACCATCACTTTCCCGAAGGCAATCCAAAATTTCTTTTTCTGTGAATTTATCCGCTAATTGCTCCCTATTCCTCTCAGTATTACTGTTAAAAGATAAATTATCCAATTTTGGCCTGTGAACATGCTGTTCGGTGTACAAGTTCTGCAAATGATTCTTGCTCCTTCCTAGAGAGCTTCATTACCTTTAATACAATTGTTCCCAATGGTAAGCTCTTCCACAAAGTTGATTCTTGTTCTGTGATTAGCAAGCATATGAAAATATTTTGAGTTCTTGTCCCCCTCTTTAATTCATTTTTCACTAGCTTTTTGTTTCCGTGATATGGCTGCCATGTGAAGTTTGTTGGCCAGCATGAGTTTCAAGTTCTTTCTTTTTTTTTTCTGTCTTTTGTGGATAGCAGCAAGTTTACTTCTTTTCTGGCCACGTCATCTATTTCCACGAGGATGTCATTAATTCACTCTTCTTCTTTTCTGCCAGTCTCCTTGGCCCAAGATTTGATTTCAACTTTGAGTAATTTAAATTTTGTGGCGATTCTGTAATAGTACCCTTAATAGCCGAATTACACCAAGGGTCAGCAACTAACTTCCTGAAGCTGTCCAGCACTAGCCATTTGTTGTCGATCTGGAAGGGGATGGGGCCCCATTGGATCCCGTCTGACGATACAAGAATGGGGAAGTGATCAGAAGTCGGCCTAGAGAGAAGTTTCTGGTTTAAATTGTGGAGCACTGAGAGAACATTGGTAGTGATAAGGAATCTATCGATTCTTGAAGAAGAAGAGTGTTCCCTTAAGTTGCTCCAGGTCCATTTTTCCCCCATGAAAGGAAGATCATCGAGGTCAAGGCTGTCAATGAGTGTACTGAATTCCTCAATGTCTTTTGAGTTTGTATAACCACTTGATCATTCAGAACTTTTTAGAACCATTTTGAAGTCTCTCCCTACAATACCTCTGTCACCCCAGGAGCTCTTTAATGTTCGATATCTCATTTCCCAACAGGTTGCATTCTTCATTGTTTCCTCCGCAATAAACTTCAGAAAAATAGCAATATTCTCCATTAGGTAAATTAGAGAAAAGACGAGACAGTGTGGTCTCACCTGATATTACATCGTGGCAGTTGACATGGTATTTCCTCCACATTATCAGGATGCCACCAGCAGAGCCCTTGGCTGGCAGAAAATTCCAGACAACATCGTCCATTCTCCAAAGACTGCCAATAACTTTCTTGTTGATTGCTTCCATTTTGGTTTCTTGCAAACAAATGATAGATGGTTTCCATCGGTTGAGACAGCCTTTAATGATTGCTTTGTTTGCTTTGATCATTTATGCCCCGTACGTTCCAAGATAGAATTTTGTCTATTATTTGGAAATCTGGATATCAACCCCTCCCTCCTTGTTCCTCTTGCTATGCCCTTTGTAATTAATAGAAGAATGAAGTCTTTTGAGCTCTCGGGAGCCACCATTATGCTGCTTCTTCTTATTGGGTTCCAGTAGCAATGTCTCAGTGCTGGTGTTTCCTTTTCCATTTTCCAGTTCAACAAAAAACGACTTTGTGTCCATTTCTTGATTTGGGAAAGTAGCTCCGAGATACTGACTGATACAGAAAACGTTATTGAGAAACCAGTCAGAGAAAAGTTGAGAATCAGACCTTGGATTATCTCGGATGAGGCTGTCTAATGCTTGTAGTATCTCAGCTAGGGTTCTTTCGCTTGTGGGTTTTAGATTACTATCCAGTTTGTGGTTCCAGGTCAGATTGGTGTATCACAATCTCAGCTCCTGTGATTGATCATTGTTCCTCTTCCAGGTTCATGACTGGTCTGTTTGGAAGTGAAGAAGAAATCCATGTGTTGGAGCAGAAAGCTGAAGCAGCCATGTCGTTGAACTCATCCGCAGCGGGTTTGTGATCTGGACTAGGGCAAAAGCACAGTTCAGTGATTTTTGTTTCATCTTTATTATGTCCCTTTGTTGGGTTTGCTGCTTTTTCTTTATTCTCCAGACCCATTGAATCTTCGGGCTGGTTCATTTGCTTGTATCCTTGCTCAGCCCAGCATTATTTGTCCATTTTCCTTTCTCAGCCCAAGTGTATCTGGGCTTTTTAGTCTGCCCCATAGTCTCCCTAATAAAGGGTTTTTGGATCTTCAACCTGGTCGGATCTCTTTTAGCATTGCCAGCATTCTCCCCAGAAGTTGGGGGGTTTTTGAATTTCAAAAACTGGGTCTTTTGGGTTGGGTCGGGCCGATTCATCTTCACCTGTGTAGGGTTCTCTGTGGGTGAAGCAAGCACTACAACATATGTTTTCTCTGAAGTTAAGAGGGGAACATGTGTGCAGTAGTTGCATTTTGGACAGCAGAAAATAACAAAGGCAGGTTTTTCGTTTGACGACTGTGGGGGGTTGTGATCTTCATGATTTCTCCATTTTGCTTGAATGGGTTTACCAGAGAAATCTCTGCAAGTTTGAAAATGGATTTCATGATACGTCACCACCCATCGGCCTCGTATCCGTCTGGATGGCATATCAGAACCGTTAAAAGTTATTTGCTTGGATGGCATATATTTTTTGGGATGGGGGATAAATTGGATTTTCTATGTTTTTGAATTTGCCCAACCCAAGAGAGAGATACAATTTGGATTTGTTTGTCAGTAGATCTACTCTTTTCTTGATATTATTAGTTGTGGAATATACTCTGGTTTCCTGGAACTGGTGGCAGATGGACGGGCACTTCAAATTTTCCCTATGCTCTTTTGGTCACCTTGTTGCTTCCAGTTGGGTGAAAAATCACCCTTGGCGTGCGCACATGTATGCTACTTCTTTGAATTGTTTTGTGTGAAATAGAGGAGTAGAAAACTAAACACCAGGATTTTCTTCATCTAAATTATATGAAGTTTGGTGAAGGCTATTTTATCTAGTATTCACTTCTCATTAGAGTGGGAATTTAAAATTGGGATATTTGGTTACGGTGGAAGACCAGCCAATTGTATTTTCCAGGGGACACTGAGAGAAGTTACTATCTTTTATTGAGAAAGTTATGTTCAACCAGCTTATTCTTTGGAAGAAGTGAAGCAGTATTGCTGTTAACAGCTTCTGCAGTTCCTATCATTTCAACAGACCTAAGCCTTAAGACAAATTTTGCTCCTGATACAAGGAGCTTTGATAATTTTAATATAGTCCTTGCATTCTCTTTTGTGATATATTGATAATGATATAGTTTTTACTGCAGAACTGCATGATCTATTTTCTATTAAATGTTACCTTTTCTGGTTGCCATTTTTGAACATTGAATCTTTGAATCTATGGCTTGCAGGGACAATCTACAGCTTTTAAGACAGCGATATTATTACGCCACGTGGAAAGCTGATGGAACAAGATATATGATGCTAATAACTATGGATGGCTGTTATTTAATTGACAGGAGTTTTAATTTTAGAAGGGTTCAGATGAGATTTCCTTGTAGACAGACTTCTGAAGTATGTGGTATTCCACGTCTTGCTTCTAAAAAGAATTCTTTGGATGTGGTTCCTTATTTACAGATGTGATGATTACGAGTTTAACAAAAATATTGCTTTTGGATGCAAGGGTTTAGGTGAAAGAACTCACCATTTTACGTTGCTTGATGGGGAGATGATTATTGATACTTTGCCAGACTCCCAGAAGCAGGAGAGGAGATACCTAATCTATGATCTGATGGCAATTAACCAAGTATCTGTCATAGAGGTTGGATTTGCACTAACATCTTCCAACCTCTTCATTCTTGATATTCTTTTAATTTTTATATTGCATGTTCTTGCAATATTTTTTGGGGTGATTTCTTTTAAAGAACTTTTAGGTGATGGCTTGTATTCTAACTACATGTTTTCTAGAGTTGGTTTTCTATAAAAAAATGCTTTATGGAGTTAGTCCTGAATAGTTTTTGCTTTGAGATCATCTTCATTTTTAGGTTGGTTGTTGTCCATGCAAACATGTTGCAATATTTATGCCCATGTCATCTTTGCCCGACGAAATTTGTACAAATCCTTGTTAGCGTCTTAGCAATATATAAGGCTGCATCTAATGTCAAACCTATGGCAGATGTGATCTTTGACAGCTAAGATGCACTTCTTTTCTGAAGTTCTATTAGTTGTTGACTTCAATTAGGTAATTCTGTGAGTTTTCCCTTCAGAAAAAAAGTTTACAGTTTGAATTATTTCTTGTTTTTATCCCTACTACCTATTTACGTGCCTAAGACCTGCAGACAAATAGATGCTCTAATAAACTCAAAAGTAGATTTTCTTTGACAATTTCTTTGGAAAGTGTGTTAAGTTGTCTAATTGAATTGAATAGTAGATCCGATGAAAGTTT